TTTAAACCCTTCCCATACTCTTGCAATATTCTAAACAATGTTTCTAATCTCTAAACACTCTAAAAGAGCACAGAATGTCATGATTTCCCTCTCTCTGCCTCCGCTGCTTTCAGCCACCTGCAAGCGTTCTTGGCCACGCCCACATTTCCGCTCTGCATGGAGAACAGCTGATCAGCTGCAGGAGGAAGCTTATCCTGCAGTATGGGATGCACAATGGTGCAGGAGGTGCTAAATTATTTAAAATAATTAATTTTAAATAAAAATCCCATGCCAATCGTGCGGCTCATCCATCAATCAGCCAATTGTGTGACATGTCCAATCTTATTTAGAAAAACCGCGATAGAGTGAGTCCATGATAAACGAACCGAAAAGTAGCGAGGGACTACTGTATTTCAAAAAGGAGTGTTTCTTGTATATTTTCTTTCTTACACTTCTTAAACAGAGCAGAATGGATCAAATGAATGGAATCTACGGTCTATTTTTGTCTCTATGCGTCCCCGTGATGGACCTGCGCAGGGTGTCCCCTGTCTCTCACACAGTGACCACAGATGGGCACCAGCTCACCTGAGACCCAAAAAACTAAAACAAGCATCAGTATGTCTGATATTTACAAATGAAGATGAAGATGCGGCTCAAACCGGTGACAACTTCAATTTTCACCTACAAATAAATGTATGCGATCTGCACACCCAGAGGGCCAAAAAACAAAAATCTTAAAGGAGATCCAGAAGTGTGCACTGCAGGAGCCTCTCCGACAAGCCCGGGCAGAGCGAGCCGACCTCTGCCTGACGCTATCAGCTCCGACGCGCACGTGTTCCAACGCCAAGTCTTCCAGATAAGACGAGATGAAAGAGCCACAAAGTCTTGTTTTGAGATTTTAACGCGTTGCTGCGTCTTTTTCCGCCTGGCACGCTGCAGACAAGACCTCTGACTTGGTGTCTGGACTGTTCTTTATCTGTGTTAATCGTGGAAACATGTCAGACTCCGGTTGTTTTTCTCAAGCTTATGACTCCATCACAGATAGTTGCTATAGGATCACACTCAGACATCAACAATACTCTGTACCGTCACATCTGACGTACTTTAATGTCCATCGAGGAAACAATTTGGTCTTCCAAATGTTTTGACTCATTTGGACTTGATAAGCAGTCTGAGTGTGTGAGGCTGCCAGGAACAGTTGTTATTTTAGAGCGTTTCTTTAAATGCATCATCTTGTAAACTACAGAACATCCACACAGCATGCAATTTATGTTATATTTCAGTTAGCAGCTATGAAACTTAACTTAAAACTTAAAGAGACTCATTTAGGGGTAGAACGACTGATAAGGGTTATTTAGTGGTTAAGGAGGGATTTGTGGGTTTTCTGTCAATTGAATCTGTTTCCACACGGCAGCCAGGGAGTTTATAGGCAGACGTTTGCAGCAGGATTTGCAGTAATCACTGTCAAGCTTTGCTTTTTCAAAAAGGAGCCAGAGACCAGCAGCAGAAACATCCAGTCAACGACAGCTCACGTGGAATATCGACGCCCGTAATTCCTCCCAACACAAAATCACCACGGGTGGCGTTCAACAAAAGCCTAGCCTACAAAACTTTAAACAAAATAATCCGTCTCGATCCCTGTAAGTCACTTACCTGCTGTAAACACCCTCAGAGGGGAGGAGAGTTTTTCCTTTTTAGTTTGATCGGCAAGTAATCTCTGCAGCTTTAGCTCCTCGGGTTGAGAGGTTAAAACAGCACGACTTACGCTTAAACCGCCAGGAATACCTTAACAGTTGGCACATACAGTGTGGAAGAATGGAGGATATTCATAACCTTTGAACTACGTTTAGTCACATCATAACGATTTAAGATTTCATGTGATACAGCAACACAAAGTAAAGTGCCATGTGTCGTCATCATTGTACAATGTGACACTGATTCTCTGCATTGAACCCATCGCACCGGCGATGCACCCAATTGGAACAGTGGACAGCGATGTGGGCACCCGGGGAGGATTGGGTGTCTTGCTCAGAGACACCACGACTAGGCCTGTCACGATAACAAATATTGATGGGCGATTAACTGTCTCAAAAATTATTGCGATAAACGATAATTTTTTTTTATTTGACAATAAATTACTAATGTCAAATTTAAGAAGAAATGTTTATTTATTTTGCATGTAGTACCTTTTTTCGACCACCGGATGGCAGTATAAGATGGTTTGAACCGAAGGATGGATAGTGAGAGAGCGAGCAGTGAGTATCTTTAAGAAAAATGGGAGGGAGGCCCCTTGACGTGACATGGGCAGATAAACCAAAAAAATTGTAAAAAAAAATTGTTTCGTCTTTCATCCAAAAGACTTCCTCAGTCTGAGGTGCTGTATTCAGCTCAGTCTTATAAATAACACCATCTCGTAGTGGATCCACCAGTTTGCTGCCGACAACCAAAACCAGCTGCTCACATGCTCAAGGAGGACCATCAGCCTAACGATGGATCTAAGTCAGTGTGTTCATCATTGTGCTAATGATGCTAATTCTTGAAAATGAGTTCTCGTGGCTCAATGAGACTACCTGTATAAATAAAGGGTAAATGAAATTTGTGTATCTTTCTTTCTACTGAAGACACTGGATGACAAAAGGCTCAACTCCGGTGTTCTTCGCTGACCCCTCCCTTTCTCCTTTCTCTTTAAAAGCTGTTTTAACGATCCAAAATCGCACTTTTGGATCGTTAAAAGCAGCTAAGCTGAGAAGCTAAGCTACGAGCTAAGCTAACAGGCCGACCTCGGGAAAGAATCTTTATCTTGTCGAAGCTCCAAAATTCACAGTTGAAACCAGTGCCCTCATGTAAAAAGTTGTTTTTCTCTGCAAAAAGAAGCTGAGAACTTGTTTACTGATTTTTTATTAAAAGCTTTGTGTGAAAATATATATATATACTACCGTACTTTCCTACACCTCACTGTTCTACTTCATTTTGGGCTGGTCATTCATGCAAAACCCCAGAAATGAACTCTGAACATTGTGGTTGTGGCGAAACGAAAGATCGAGAAGACTTTTTAAAGGCACAAGTGACGGCTTCCTCCGTCTAGTTATTTACCTATAACTCTGTAAAGTCTGCACACTGACAGCTGACGATCGTAAGCAGCTGAACATGAAACGTTAACATCTTTATTGTCATAGCGTCTCAAGTTGTTGCGGGAAAAACTCATCTTTAAACTGATGCTAACCGTCTAAGAAAAGCTCTACAAAGTACAAATATTATGCAAAGCTATAAAATACAGGAGTCCTCAGATGGTTCGTCATAAATCTGACAAATCTGTTGCAGATTTTGTCTCATTTTGTTCTTTTTTTTAGCTCATTTTGCATCTCTGGCACTGAAAGTTGCTCCAAATGTTCTTTAGCAGAATTCAATCCACACATAATAATCAATCCTAATTTATTTATTTATTATTATTTTAAAATGAGACTTTTGCCTATTGGCATTGCATGTTCGGTTTAAGAGTGCAATTTCAAATGACGTATCCATGTGTTTGTGTTGGCTCTAATCAAGTTGCTTCAAGTTTCTTGGCTGTTTCACGCGAGCGTCACGTCCACACAGCTCCACTCGGGACACGTCTTTCCAAAGACACTGCTCCAAATGGCTTGTTCAGATTCCAGTCTAAACAGAGTGGGGACTTCCTGTGACCCCTCAAACATTTAACAAGTTGAGTGAAGTGAGGCCTTCGGTCTCAGATGCAGCTTGCGCATGCATATCTGACCTCAGGGTGAACTTGTTAGGACACAAACTTTGGGAGTCTTAAAGATAAACAGAATTTAAAATAGTTGAAAATGGCCTCTTAGCTCCTAACCTCAATGATCCAGGTAGATAACAAAAATTATTAAATCATGTCATCTGGACCAGTTTCTTTAAGTTAGAATCGTTTAACATGATTCAACCATTTTTGTTGTTATCCGAATTATTGAGCTTGCAAACCTTTTTCTGAACCACTTTGGCCTTGTAGTCCTCAGGCTGTTTCTGCGAGTTGGTCACCTGGCCTTAAACATTTTAATCGTTGTACATGATGATTGATTGTTTCGAATGGGTGTGCTCTGTTTGCACGTGTTAAAAGCCTACTTTTGAGATGCCAACAGGAGGTTGGCTTGAAACAGCAGTGAAGGATACCTAGATCTGGTTGGCAGGCCATAGGTTGATGAAGTCCTCTGGATGGGGGACGAAATGTTTCTCACTTTAAAATGGTCCAGATGACATGATTTAACCTTTTTTTGTTTGCTTCTTAGCTCATTTTAAATTAATGGGAACAATAAACCCCTACAGCTACTGATCAGTCAAATCATGTACCCTGCATGTATTTACTTGTTTTTGATGCATTTCAAATGAAAAACTTTGTTAGGCTGAAAAGAACTGAGACATAAACATCTCATTTTGTTCCTGGACAGTGCTGTGTATTTATGTTTTTGTATTTTAAACTATTGTAATGTGCAAGTACTTCAGGGTTGTTGTTTTTTTTTTTTTTAGCCCTGACATGAGGCTAAATGACAAAAATTAATATCTTTAACTTTGTAATTGTCCAACAATTTAATTACCAAAAGACCGGAAATTGCTGATAATGAGGCATCTTGTGTGAATTGCTATGAATGCGTAAAAATCTTAAAATATCTTTTGAGCGCTTCGAGGTTTCTCTGATCCACATACCTGGTCTGGGTCCTGGAGGCAGTACCTGACTCGGTCCAATGTGCCGGACCTGAAAAACTTTCCGGACCTCGTCACATTTGTCGGAGCCTCCAAGCCCAGATCCGCAAACAGTCAGGAAAACGCAGCACAGCCACAAAACACCCATTTTCAAATATTAAGTTAATATTCCTTTAAAAAAAAAAAAATAGCCCGTTAAGGTTCCTCATCCACCTGGACCGAGGTCTGAGTCTGGATCAGGTGAGTCCACATTTCAGGTCTTTATAAACCGACGTGGATCCTTCAGGAGTTTGTTCTCTTCAACTTTCAATCCCTCAGCTGATAAAGTTTCAGCCGTGTTACTGTTCTGTTTGAAAGCCGTCTGGATTTGTTGGACCGAACAGAGGCGGTACCGAATGATACCTGAACACCGCAGCCGCGCGGCGACAGCGCCCTCTGGTGGCCAGCCGGAGGAAGTGTATTCATAACAGTATTCATTTATTTTAACAGCGCCAAGTCACAACTGAAGTTATCTCAAGGAATTGCAACCAAAAAGGTTTTCATTTATTTCAAAAGATACTTCATGGACGATCAGAAATATTCAGCATTAATTTAAATGTGCAGGAAAACTCAAAACGCAGGACATCGCTGTTGCTTTCCGTGAACTTAAATCTTTATTTTTAAAACATTATGCACAAATTCTAACATTTTGAGCTTCCATATAGAAAATCAAGCTGTAAATTACCCTATCATTTCAAATATAAGCTCCAATACACTAAATATAGCTGCAACTTTAAAGTTTTTCATGAAATGTTTTTCCATTTTATTCAACAATTTACATTTAATTAAGAGGGGGAAACCATTTATACGAGTCTCTTGTAAATGAGTCCTCGTGACTCAATGAGACCAACCTATATAAATGAAGGTTGAATTAAGTTTTATTTACTGTACCATCTGTGCAGTGACATTTATTGTACTTTGCATTTCAGCAATTTCCCCAGAAACTGAACCGAACAAACATATAAAGGGATCAAATGCTGTAGTCGCATTAATTTTTTTAACACTATTTTGACAAAAGGAATTGCCAAAAAAAAAAAATAATAATAAAGTGGTTGGCCAAGAAAATATTGATTTAACAGTAACCAAGGGTTACTACCTTTAAAGAAAAAAGGCAAATTCAGTTTTTCTTTAGTTTGTTTTAATTCAAACAATTGGACAATACACAATTTGTTACAAATCTACAGGACAAAAACCCAACTTTTTAAACACATTTACAAGTGATGATCAGGGGTCAGCTCATCTCCCCGTTCCTTTACAGGCCGGGACAAGTGCAATACCTCCCGGAGCACAGCATTGCTACTAATCCCCACCTGCACAGGACAGGACATCCAGCAACACACAACCACCCACAAGATGAAGTTCAGTCCCACTTAGCAGCCCATCAACCTGGTCAGTTTTGCATGGATTTGCACAGCACACATGTAAAAGCTGAATGCAAACCAGCAAAACTGACCAAGCAACAGATTTGTCGCCGATCGTCCACTTCAGACTGCAGGGAGGATACAGTTAGAAATACTTCAAGTGCTCACATTGCAGTAGATTAGAATAAAAACACTACCTGCACTATAAGCACTTTAATACTGCTGAAACTGTAGTCAGTTGGACTGGAAGCGGAAAACACTCGTTCTTTGACACATCAGTCACATTTAATGAGAAAACCCCCCCCCCCACACACTTAAAAGCCAAATATATAAATCTTTAACAGGTGTAGAGCAAGCAGGCCACCATCAGTTTTGCATAGATTTGCACAACTCATGTATTCTTGTAGTGCAACTATGCAAAACTAGCAGAGAACTGCAAGAAGTTTGAGCCCAATTAGAAATTAGGAGTAGTCTGGTGGTGCATATCACAGCCCCTTGTGCCAGAAGGAGCACTTAGGGCAGTAGGTGCTAGTCTATTTCACTATCTGCACTAGATGCACCTTAGCACAAAGACAGTACATCAATATACATGTATGCAATTCATTCATCCAACGTTTATTTACACAGAAATCACACTGAGCCTTGAAGACTCATTTACAGGTGAGACCCGTTTAGACAATGAAATGAAGACTCTGCAACAAAAGTGTCAGGGTATTGCTGAAAGTGCCTCCACTGCAGTAGGTATTTCATAGTACTACCTGCACTGTAAGCACTTTGGCAATACATAGACAGATTTACATCTTCGTCCTTCAGCACCACTGGTAAGATGGTCACCAGGTGTCCTCGGGTTCCTCCTCCAGAACCTCATGGTAGAACTGCAAACAAAGACAAAAAAAAAAAAAAAAAAAAAAAAGTTACTTTGACGGAGCAACAAGTCCCATAATAAAAAACAATGAAGGCACACTCTAGGTTCTTCTACTATATAAAAAAAATGTATGACTGCGAGTTCACAAACAGACTCGTGTTGTGACTCGAAGCGAAGTGTTTACAGCAGCACGAGGTCGCCGTAATCATGAATGAAGCAGCAAACATGCAGCCCGCGTTCGCTGCGAACGCCGCTGCGCATGCGCACACCGACAGCAGCCGTTCACCCCTCCCCCACCGTCTTAGAACATGGCGCCTCGAAGTGCGCCAATCCTTAGCGTTTCCAAACGACTTTAAAACCCAAAAGCTAATAGCAAAACAAAAAAAAAAATGATCGCATATTGTGTTACACATTAAATCTCAAGCTTGCTTTAACGTGCAGCCCAAACCACGACTCTGGTTTCGCATGTCTTGAAGGGGGTGGGGGGGGTCGTGTCGAGAGCAGCTAGCAGTTAGCCTAGCCGCTACGAGCTGCTAACTCGCCCGATGAAAACGCTGCAAAAAACAAAAAACGCTGCCGACAGTTGCCCGCACAACCGCTGAAGCAATGTCGGGGGAGATTGTGCTGAAAAAAAACCAACAAAAAACCAACAACACAAAACGCTCGTGAACAACGGTGGTTACGTTAAGAGTTCAACGACGTTAGCAAACAATTAGCGAACACGTTAAAAAATAAAGCCAACAGCACGTGCTCCACCGGACTAGCATGTGGTCAACCTTGTGACCTGCCGCGTTCGTTTCCATAAATTCACAGATGCTTTTGTAGTTTTATCACTTTTTAGAAGTCCCGAGTGTCCGGGCTAGGCTAAGCTAATCCGCGCGGCCTGCTGCTGCCCCATGTGCTGCTGCTTTGTTCTGGGGGGCACTTTAACTCACACACCACTGCGCTCGATAAACGCTCGCAAATACACGGGATTTACAACTTTACGGTTATCAAACTGCTACATGAGGGTTTCACCGAGCTGGGGTGGGTTTTTCCCCCCGCACCGCTCTCTTGAAGCGCAGCAGGAGAAAAGCTCCGTTCAGCTTTTCAAATCTCCCTCATTCCGTCAATGGTGGAGCAGAGAGGGGGCTGCCATGCGCCTCTCTCTGTTTTCATCGCCAACATCCAGGGCTGGCGTTGGAATCAAAACCAGCAAAGCGCCGGGCCACGCGTGAATTTAAAAAACATTTAAGTTTTAAAAATAATAATAATAATAAAAACCGTGGAGCAGAAAGCAGCACTTCCTTACCGATAAACATGCGCTCAGCAGCACCACATCCACCATCTTCGCTCACTCGCTCGGGGCTGCCCGCCGACAAAAAGAGGCGAATAAACGGACAACTCTCCGGAAACTTTCACGGAGCTCGACCCGTGTGTGAGCTCCGGGGCCACGGCGCTTCGATTTATAGCCCCGGGAGGCTTCTGGAAGAAGATTGCGGGGTTAAGAAAGTGGCGCGAAGGCGAGCAGTTGGAACCATGTGGGTGAATGAAGGGCGGCTCCCTCCGAACGTAAATATGTAGCTACAACCCCCAACTCCCCATTAGCATACATAAACTACGGTACTTCCGACCCACTTCTGCTCCAACCGAACCGCCCCCGTGAAGCAGCGGACCGAGCCCTGCTCTTTATTAATCGTTATTAGGCTTTTGATCCGGTGCGCACGTGTGAAGTCATCGAGCGTCTTATTTAAATTAAATAAGAGCCACTGAATGTGGTCAAATTAATTATCAATAACCTAATTAACTAATTAACCTGTTGCTGCGCAACTAATTAGGAAGACCCGCCATTTTGATAGTTCAGCTCATTTTGGCCTTATGCATTATTTTTAATTCAATTAAAAAAAAAAATTCATGCAGTGGACTTATAGGCAGGCTTTTAAAAATATTATTTTAGTGTATAATTATGGTTACTTTTATAGTTTTGTGTTTATGATTCATGATGCAACAACAACCCAAATTCTATCTATCTATCTATCTATCTATCTATCTATCTATCTATCTATCT